TTTCCACCATACTTCACTGTCGAGCAGCTCCCTGGCTGTGATTCCTCTGGTCACCAGGTCAGCTGGGTCCTCTTCGCCTGGGCAGTGTTTCCAAGAGCAAGGATCAGAGTTTCGCTGGATTTCAACGACTCTATTTCTTACAAACTGTTTCCAGTCGTTTGCTTCTCCGAGGATCCAATGAAGAGCTATCTTCGCATCGGTCCACAAGTGCACTTCGTGGATGTTCTCCTGCAGCTTGGTCTTAATGTAGACACTCAGTCTGGTTGCCAAAAGACATGCCAAACGTTCTAGCCTCGCTACAGAAAGTTCTTTTAGAGGTGCCACTCGAGACTTGCAAAGCAGGATCGTGGATGTCGTGGTGCCGGAATCATTCGTTATAGTTACGTATGCTACGGCTCCATACGCCTGAGGACTTGCATCGGCAAAGATGTGCAGGTTTGTCCTGATCGTCGCTCCCTCTATTCCCCGTCTGTAGAAACGTGGCACCATGACGTCACATAGCAATGGAAGATCCGCACACCATCGGTGCCATTCACTGCGCAGGTCAAGAGGCAGTAGGTCGTCCCACTCCATCTTCTGTTTCCAGATTTGTTGGAATAGGATCTTTGCTCGCACGACAAATGGCGCGATGAATCCTAGGGGATCGTAGAGTCTGGCTGTAGTCTGTAGGACAAACCTTTTTCGTGTCTGAGTGCTTCTCTACGAAGTTCAGAACATCGTCTGGTGCAAATGTTAAGAGGTCTGTGGCAGGGTTCCACGTTAGTCCCAGCACCTTGAAAACTCCCGCAACCTGCCCCAATGGGTGTTCCTCGTGGTGATTCGAGTCGACCTCATTTAAGAGCGTTTTCGAGTTAGACACCCACTTGTGCAGCTTCATTGACGCTTGCTCGAAAATTGCTGTCGATTCCTTGAAGATCTTAGTGGCTTCTTCTTCGCTGGATGCACCGGTAAGAATGTCATCCACGTAAATGGAATCTTGCAGCAGCGCCGCGGTGTCTGGATACTCGTTCTTCATTGTTTCCAGGTGATGTTTTATTGTCGCAGACAATAAAATGGGCTCGATGTAGTTCCAAAAGGAACTCTTGTCATCCTCCAGATGAGAATTGGAGGAAGTGGTCTTCCGACCTGTGGGGTAGTTTTATATCACAGGAAGCGTAACGCATCGCGATCATTTTCTTGTATACTTATCTGAAGAAACGCCTTCTAGATGTCGGCCACTAGCGCGATACAATGTCTTCTGAAGCTCAGAAGCAACGCGACAATATCCGGGTTCAGATTGGGGCCACTTTCCAAACAGTCGTTCAACGACTTCGAGCTTTTGCTATGGGAAGAAGCGTCAAATACCACTCGCAATTTAGTGGTGGTGCTCCTTTCGCGACAAGCTGATTGGTGTGGCATGTAGAACTTCCGAGATCCAGTCTGCTCATCTGACACTTCTGCCATTCCACCTTCGGTGTACTTCCGGATCGCGACGTCATAGTCCCTCATCAAATTAGGGTTCTGAGTTAACTTCCTTATTAGCTGCTGAAGCCTCCTCTCCGCAACTTGTTTGTTATCGTCTAAGTTCACTACGGGTTTCCACGGGAGGGCCACCTCGTACCGAAGACCGATCTTCATAACTGTTTCTTTGTAAGACGCGATCACGGGTTCTGTCTCTGGATGAGGTTCGTCGGTTATACCAATTCGATTCAAGGTTCCAAAACCTTTGCATTATTTCAGATGCATCCATGTTGTTTGTCGTTGCGTTGAGAACGACCATCTGTGAGCTCTTGATGACAGATGCTGAAAGTTCTGTTGGACCGTGTACGGTCCAGCCAAGCGACGTCTCGATTGCTCGAAGTTTTCCGTCGAGTCTCCTAACTTGGCCCGTGACGAAGTTCCACTAGCAATCGCCTCCAATCAGTATGTCCACGCCGTTGGGTCTCTCAGCTTCGCAGAAATCCCATTTTTTTTCAGTTGGCGACGCAATTCTTCTCTTGGATAGGGCAATCGTTGACCACAAATACGGCTTTTCTCAAGTGCTTCCAAGCTGAAAACTTCACCTCTTTGATTTTCAAGAGTCACAAGAACTCTGCGAAAGTTTCGTTTTGTCGTGTGGTCGCCAAATGCTCCTACCGTCAGTCTTTCGTTTCCCAGGTGCTTGCATCTGAGCTTTCGTGAGAGTAGTTCTGTGACAAAAGACCTCTGGCTTCCGCCGTCGAATAGCACTCTTACAAGGATGCGCTGTTTCAGTCCCAAGCTCCACACTGTCGCTGTTTGCAGGAGGACGGTTTTGTTGACCCCGTCTTTAATCGTAGATTGTAGGGCCACTGGACCAGCAGAAGTCAGTTTTTCCTCTTGTCTGCCTTTGTCGTCTCTCGAGCTTGACAAGAACGTTGGGTCACACATGACGGATGCGTGTCGACCTTGGCAGTTGGAGCAAGAAATGTTTTTTCTGCATTGTTTGGCCAGGTGGTTTTTCTTCGTGCACCTAAACCATCTTCCCGAGCTCGTTAAAATCTTCCTCTTCTCGGGAAGACCTATCGTTGTTGTGCACAGCTCTGTCTCGTGGTCTGCTGACTTGCAGAAAACACAGCTCTGCTTGTCACTTTTCTGTAGAAGTGTCGCGGCCGTTCCTTTTGTCCATGGTTTTGAATTGTGCTTTGCTGCACGAGATGCTACTCCACTCTCTTTTCCTGCTTTACTTCTTATGCCTCCTGATTCTGGTTTTTTTGTGACTGTCGTTCTTTCTCTACTTTCAACTTCAATTCTCAGAAATTGCATAAATGATGGTAGTTGCCTTAGCTGGGACTGTTCTACAGCGTGTTGGTTTCCTTCGCCAGCCGCGTTTACAGCCACATCTTCCGGGCGACGCTGTTCTTTCTTCCGAACGACATTTCTGTTGAAGGTTAGCACAAGATCTTCTGGGATCAGCCGAAGTACAAGGGGGCAAAGGAGAGTCGAATAAGAATCTTCGTTAACTCCTAGAGACTTGAGTCCTCTTATATGCGCTTGGAGGTCATCGTGTAGTCGTCGTAGTCCTCGGACGTCTTGCGAGGTCCGAACTGGCTGCCGTTCTGCTAGTTTCATCATGTGGTCATCTACTAGCAGCGCCTCGTCGCCTTAACGGGACTTTATGATCTCCCGCGCATCTTCATAACAGCTGGCCGTTGGTGGCAATCCGGCAATCGCTGCAGCAGCCTCTCCCGACAACGCCGATCTGAGATAGTGGAACTTCTCGGCTGATGACAGTTCTGGGTTACCATGGATGACCTGCTCGAATTGCTCCCAGAAGGGCTGCCATTGTTGACGTTGTCCGTTGAATTTCAAGAGTTCAAGTTTTGGTAGCTTGACCTTGACTGACAAAGTGGGACTGCGGTGGTTTGTTGCGATTTCTTGACCGCTTGTACTCGCTCTTTCGTGTAGGGTCCGCACCCTGAAGGTCAGTCTTGCCGAGTAGGTGACGATACGATCGCTGTACTCGACGGTTCGAGCATACACTTGTTCGATGTCACTTGCTGCCAACAATGGTTCGAGGGCAGAGTCCGTTTCGGTAAGCTGACCATGTAGCGCGTTGAGACGAGTCAGTAAGACGTTGAGCTCTTCCTCAATCGGCAGTTCGGTTTGGGTAGCTGTATCGATTTCTGTCAGCAGCTTTGTTACTTGTGAACGCAGGGCTTTTCGCTTCTGTTTCAGCCCATCCATGGCAGCGTCGTTATGGTCCCTTGCGTTCTCGAGCTGGATGGTGTCTTGTCCTGTAGCCTCGTTACATCAACGCTTGTGACACCTTCTCATCTGGCCCATCGTACAGTCCTGATCCCGGGTTTCGGCACCAAAATGTCGAAACCATTGAGCCGAAGCGTTGATGACTACAAGAAAAAACACTACTTTAATCACCGGTAGCTGCGTTACTCACACTTCCCAGTTCCGAACGAAAATCCCCGATAGAAATTGTAGCTCGCGCTCGGGCCCAGTCCCCGAACCTCCTCGTCTTCTTTTCCGCTCCGCTGGAGGGTTTCTTCAGGTACTATCGATAGTCAGATTTATGGCGACTGTCGATACTACCGATAGTGCGGTCGATAGTTTTGCACCACTAGCTTACGCTCCTTCAGGAGCTTCCCATGGGCTCTGAAAGCTACTAATTAAGCTTCGTTTTCTTTTGGTCGCACTTAAAACGAAGATTAATAAGTAGCTTTCGAGTCCATAAGAAGCGTCCGAAAAAACGCAAGCACCACATGACTGGTTGCGTGTCACTTGACGCTAGTAGCCATTTTTCCGTGGACGGGCGCCAACTACAATTTCGTTTCCCGCCGTAAATATAGCTCTAAAAATTATTATTTTTTCGTTGTAAATTGATTTGATGATATTCTTTTTTCCATCTAGCCTGTTTAAAAAATATTCTCCTTTGCATGTGTTTTTTTTTTTTGTAAGCTGCTGTTACACTGTTTATACACCATACTAAAACTCGACGTTCGAAGCAGACATGATGGCGGAATTATCTCTGAACATTCCTCAAGCATCTTAGAAAGAAGTTTGCTTTGTACACCCGTGGGCTTCGAACATGGTATCAGGGTGTACGTCCAAACCGGTTCGAACACGAACCGGTTGGGATGTACACCCTGATAGAAAACTAGGAGGGGCGGCGGGGATTGAATCGGGATGATCTGAAACAATGCTAAGCGAGATCTCGGTTCACGTGGTTTGAACCGAGACACTTTCCGGTCTTACATCCTTCATGCCCATCTTCATGGTTCCGACCCAGCCGTGCGGGTTTGCTCGACAGCAGGAAGACTAATCTCAGAGCGTACCAAACAATCACGGGATCTACGACGCCATTGCGTAAACATCATTTTGATAAGAGAGCTAAGGGGGGTTGCGTTCCTAGGAAACAATCTTGGAAATGCTTTTACTACGTTGTCGGTAGCAGAATAAAACGAGCATTGAATGCGCTATGTATATACTTGCCCGCTCGAACGTAATGGTTCACTGATGCGACTCTCTTGCGGTTCATTTCCGTACAGCAATTCATACTCCTCCTGGCGGTAAGAGTCCTTCAGGTAGGTTAAAGTTGTTTTTTTTCTCAAACTTTTGCACAAATTGTTTCTCCCTTTTGTTTATGAAAGATGTAACAGAGATGCGGTCGTTATTTCAAGTGGCAACTTTGACCTTGTGGTGATACTTCGTCGAGTCTTGCATATCAAGCTTCTGGAAACCTTCCACGCTCATGTTAAGAGCCGAGAACACTGCAAGATTACGCAAACAGCGCTTACTAGTTATCGTGAACTAAAACAGAAATCCTGGATCAGTAAAGAGATAACGGAAAATTTACTTTATAGGTGACATTCACTTGACGTCACTCGCTAGGTTCGCTGCCATCGCCCACCGCGGTCGCCATCTTCGAGGTCTCTTGCTATCGCGAATGCCATAGGGCCGGACCTTTTGAGCGTAGTTTAGCAGTATTTTACAACTTTAAAGGGTCTTTTTGATCGAAACTAGGGGTTATTCTTATACTTTGGTACTTCTGAAGCGTTGTGGGAGTATTTTTTGTGTGTTTTAGTTTGTTTTTGTCGCAATCGGACTCGTTTACCGCGGCCGCGTTGCTCCCTCGGCTCCATGAAGCGCTCCGTGTCGCCCGCCGTGCCGACGGCGGTAGCTCTTGCAAGAACTAATTTTTCTACTTTGGTGCTTCTGCAGCACGGTGTGATTACTCTTTGTTTTGTTTTGCTAGTTTCATTATTGTTTTTCTCTAGCTGATTTTCTGTACTACGGCCATGTAACCGTGTGGCTCCATCGCCGCTGTGTCGTACATACGTCGTGCCTTCGGTGTTCGTTCCTGTGCAGAAACATACCGTGCGGCTCACAGGGTGCGCAGCTTATAAAAAATGCGGGGCATTTTCATTAGCCCAAGCGATTTAAAAACCGCATGTAAGCGATTTGGCGAGCGGGAAAACAAGCGACGGCGACCCGCTTCGCTGCCGCTCGGTCACTCGCGCGACGAGGCAAACCGCATGAAAGCGACGGGAGGACACGACCAAGGCGAGGAGCGCTAAGTTTTCTAAGAAATCCCAAAACCGAGCTACGCGACGAGTGACAGTGAAGGGTGAACCGCATGTAAGCGATTTAGCGAGCGATGGCGACAGCGACGGGAGTCGGCGACGAGCGACGGAGATTTCTCGCGGTCGGTCGTCGCGTCGCTTGGCTTTTGGATTTCTAGAAAGGGTCGCTTATCGCCTTGGTCGCATGCTCCCGTCGCTTTCATGCGGTTTGCCACGTCGCGCGAGTGACCGAGCGACAGCGAAGCGAGTCGTCGTCGCTTGTCTCGTCGCTGTCGCTCGTCTCGTCCCGTCGCTCGCCAAATTGCTTACATGCGGTTCAGACTTTACACACGGTACTTGGCGGCAACAAGGAAAGCGGCCCGCCCCCGAGACCAACTTTTCTTCTCTCCTCTGTTCAACGAAGCTTCAACGATAGGAAATTAGCACACACTAGCAGCGGACGATCGCGTAGCGTACCCAAGCCAGTCAAACCGAGACCTCGAAGATGGCGGATCGACGGTGGCGCTCCCTGGCAAAATCGAACCTGCAGGCTCAGTGAATACCACCTATTCTTTTCCCTTTTTGTTTCTTCTTTCTGATCGTCAAAACTTATACACTTTCCAGCTATTCTATATGCACCCGATGACCGGAGGACATAGGTGTTTTTACTTGCTTCTTGCAGCCTTTCATCATTTTAATTGGAAAGCATTGACCGTCTGATGGAGCGATCCGACGTCATCAGTTTGAAGCGCAAAAACGGCACCTCAAATCCTTTCTCCAAGTGTAGCGAGCTCCCAGCCACGAAATTACGCGAAAGGCCAAAACACGGCACCTAGTTTCCCCGGTCCCAAAGGACCGAAGTAAAGCAGGTGATTTTCCGGCTCCGATCCTATTGGCTGGCGGGCGTCGACGAGGCCCCCAATGCCGCTGCGCGTCAGTTTGAATGATCGCTCACCCGATGGCGCTGCGTTTCCGCGAGGCAGCGGCTCCACCGTTCCTCGCCCAAGGTTATCGCGCCGTACGCCGCGCGCACGCAGACGAGAGAAGGGAGCGAAGAGCAGCGTGCGTGCTTTCGCATTCACAACTCATAAGAAGTGCTAAGGTGTACCTCGAGCCTTTTCTTTTGTCCGAACGGTTCGTTCGGATGACTACGGTTCGGACAAAAATGTCCGAACCGTAGGTGTTTTTACTTGCTTCTCGCAACCTTTCACCAATTTTTTTTTTTAAAAATGCGGCAGCATTTTTGTTGGAACCGTACATACTCTAATATCCGTCCTTCGGTTTCTAACCAACGAAGCAGGCGGCACGCAGCTGCTATGTACCCACTTCAATAATGAACACAGCAGGTAATGCGCCCATCGAATGTGTCATTTTGTATTATTTTCTGGACGGCAGATACAATTACTACGGGCCGTATTAAGTTTATATCGATATAGTAAACAAAAAAAAAAACGGAGTTGAAGTATTGCTGTAACAAATGTCGTTGGTTGGTCACGGGAGCCCCGTGCCCCGAAAGAAGAAAGATGTTCACTTTGCATGCATTGGTGCTAAATGTGGCAAGTCTTAATGGTTGACGAAAACTACTCCTTGAAATTTGGCAGCAGTTCCTAAGCTGTCTAATAACAAAATGTTTAAGCAGCTGCTTAAACATTTTGTTTAAGCTATGCGACACAGCACTGATTTGTACTAGCTAGTACAAATCGGTGCTAACTCATACAGCTTTTCAGCAGACATTTGAGCAGAAATTACGTCATTTTTTTTCTAGAAGTTATTCATTCATTCATTCATTTGCTTTATTTTCAGTACCACACAAACAGCTATACGCCTTCTTAGTGGTGCGCTACGTCTAAATAAAAAGAATTCGCATCTCAAAAACAAATGTTGACATGTCAGAACGAAAGGAAGACCTCGATGCACTTTCTAAATGTTCGTTCGCATCCAAAAATATCAACGCCAAGTCCATCTAAGTTGGATTAGAATTTATTAAAAAAACAGTTGCAGTCGGGTAATAGGGTCAGCGTTGTGCAAAATAGAAGGATAGAACAATGAGCGTAAGCGAATAGACCGTTGAGGAACACGCAAATATACACTGTTCAGTAACTCTGTGCACTCAACAACACCATTAACGACTTTATGCAAGAACATGAAATCAAGCGTCATTCGCCTATTACACAAGGAGCGTAAGCCAATTTGTTTACATATTCTCTCATAGTCATAAAATACCTTGGACCGCAAGTAATGATCATAAAAGACACGTATAAATTTTCTTTGCACTCGCTCAATGCTAGATGAGTTAGATTCTCTAATGCTGTTCCATACGACTGAAGAAAAAAAACTCGAGGCGGCTTAGCACAAGAGAGCGAAATAACATTAAAAAACAATGTGGATTTTTAAAATTTCTCGATATACGCGTTATGATACCAAAAACATTTAGGGACGAGTTTACAATATTTATAACCTGATGATTAAACGAAATTGCAGTGTCTAGAATACACCCAAATCCCTAACCAGAGACACACGGCAGGTCTGCGCTATAACAATTACCTTTCAAAAAAAAAAAAAAAAAAGGAACGGTTTTAAGCAACTTGCAAGTCGGTCTTTGAGAAGTGCCGGGAGTGATTCTAATGGCGTCCGTCATTTTGCGGCAGGTCACGATTGTCCATGTTGGGTGTTGTTGTAATATAATTGGACGCTTGAAACCTGTGTGGCGTACCTTTGGTTTCGTATCGGCACTCATTTTACGCTTGTGTTTTGCAGTGGTTCTTGGCGGACACAAGTGAGGCGGAGCCCGGACTCGCTCCGGTCAAGAGAGCATTCTCTGCCCCGGAGCCGAAAGGTCTTCGTGGAAAGGGATAGTGATAAGGTGGCAGTAATATGTTGAAGAAACCATAAAACATCCGCATAATTTGGCTGGTGCACAGAATAAACAATTCGTACTGATAAGGAGTCAAACATGGTGGCCTTTCTGTTTACGTGTGCTACAGCCTGCTGCAACATACCTGATCTCCATGAAAAACGACGTCCACGAAAATCACATAAAATGACAAAATATGAATCAGGCTTAAGCGGGCAAAAAAGAAAAAAAGATACGTATGCTTCGGGATACCGCACCTTTATAAATGAAGAACTTATATGAAAAGTGAAGAAGGTTCCTGGTGCACGAACACCATACGGCGTATTAACTAACGATGCATTAAAAAAAAGAGCATTCTTGTATTAATCTACAGTATACAATCACAGCGATAGCCGCAACACGTCACACCGAAGTCGTTGGCTCGATTGGGTTCATTATCACCGAGCGTAGATCTCACAGTTCTCTTTTTACCTTTTTAATCGGGTGGCGACTCGCGCCACCTAGCCGAAGCTTTTTTCTTAATTTCAACCATTAACTCGTATTAAATTTAGTATTAATTGCGAATGACCAAGAACCTTTTATGGTGACGTCACAGCAACTGCGTCCATCCAGAGGGTCATACTCATGCTTGTTCCACAATATACCGATAATAACGCGGATTACCAATGCAGCGGCGAGCCCTAGTGTACATTTTGTGAATGAATAATGTCTGGTAATAAAGAAAGAAAGAAGATTAAAGTTGCTGCGTGGCTCTGTGGTAACGAGGCCGCTTTACACGCAGCGGACACAGGTTTGATTTCATAAAGCGCCAGGCGACATTTTGCAAGCAGTCGGCAATATCGCGTCGGACGCCGATTGCCCTATTCCCCCCACCACAATATCAGCAACTACTACAACTCCATCGACAACTTTCATGTGGCGGGAAGAACTCATAACAGCTATCACTTTAAAACATGTTGAACTGTATGCGAAACATATAAACATACCTACGAAAAAAAATTTAGATTATTAAAACATAGGCAAGAGGCTAATACAAATAATGGGGAAGAACATAAAACACAGGAACGGACAAGACATTACTCATATTATCCTTGTCAGTACGCCCTCCAATCCAGGTATATGCAAAAAACGATATCCAGATTCACCGCACTGACAGCTCTCGGCTATT